GAGAGAGCTGTTTCGAATGTCGGTGCTACACAGAGCAACGGCGTAGCAATCGCGACACGAGAGCCGACTGCGCCTCAATCTCCCCAACCGCGCTCCATCGGCTGAAATGTGCGCGTAGGAAATTCGAGCAGTGTTTGCTTGCTGAGGTTGCAAGAGGCTGCTTTGTTGTTGAGAATACTCTGCCTTGCAAACGCCTGCGGAGCCGTTCCAGTGCTCGACACACCTTGAGTGGAGCATCACAACCTTCCTGCTGGCTGATAGGCCAGGAGAGCCCGTAGCATTCTAAATATAAGCAGATTAACCGAGGGGGCAAGTTGAAAAACAAGCAGATAAAACAAATATCTTGCAGGATTTCCACTTCAGATGTGGCGATTTGAGACATATGAATGCTGTAAATGACGTGGAGCGATCAATTTGTGCTCATTAGTGTTGCGTTCATTCCGCTTGCTACATTCACTGATGAACTGTTTACGTATCTTCTTATTTTTGAGACTTGCTTTTTTTTCTAAATGGTAGTTAAAACAATAACCTTTCAAATCTCAAAAAAACAATAAAATGGTGATCGCTTGCTGCGCTAACAGTGTTCGCGCGATACACGTAATGCAGCGCTGCCAATTACTCGCTCACGATGCTTCTCTCGCTGCCCGTCGTCACGCGAAAGTTTCGACAACGCGATAAAAGTTTATATTATGGTCAATCGATTACCAGCGTTGGTAAGCCATTGGCTAAGGCAGGCCAATGCTGGTGAGCCTAAGCCAATCGATTGCAAATGTTGGTAAGCCATTGGCCAAGACAGGCTAATGTTGGCCAGCCTAAGACAATTGATTACCAATATTGGTAACCCAATGACTAACACGAACCAATGTTTCCCAGCCGAAGCCAATCGATTGTCAACGTTGGTAAGCAATTGGCTAAGACGTGCCAATGTTGGCCAGCCTAAGCCAATCGATTACTAATTTTGATAACCCATCGGCTAAAACAGACCAATGTAGGCCAGCCTAAGCCAATCGATTACCAATGTTGGTAAGCCATTGGCTAAGACCGGCCAATATTGGCCAGCCTAAGCCAATCGATTGCCGACATTGGTACAATGTACTAGAGGTTGTAGTGGCAAGAGCGGCGCTTCCTCACACTGGGCTGCGTGAAGACGGTCAACGTAGATGGCCGCGAGGGCAGAACCTGGTGCTGGAGTTGCGGGCCCGAGGAGAATTGGTGCTATATGTGCGATGAGCGAAGGAAAAGGCGAGGTTGAGGCGGTACGCTGCTCCCGAAAATAGCGCCATAGCACAATTAATCGTGGTATAGTGGTGGAGAGTCTTCACCGTTCCGTTGCCGTATCGGTCATAAATGCAAGAAAAAACAAACGGACACACAATGCTTTGCGCCCGGATGCAGGTCGGGCTACCTAGGCAACAAAAGCAGCAGGAGCACCAGAAATCGTAAGCCGCCGCTGTTTCGTGCGCCAAAGGAGGGGTGGCGCAGAATACATTGGGAACAAAATCTTAAACGAGAAGATACACGCCTCGCCGAGACATCAGCGGTGTGCGAAAAACATTTCGAACCGCGCCTTATCTTTTGAGACTATATATGTGGACATCGTCCTTGGCGAACGGGTTAAGACTCCACGGAGTAGGCCTGTGTTCGCGAACGATGCCGTGCCACTTTGCTGCATTATTTTCCGGCGTACAACTCAAAGGCGATGCACGTGAAAGGCGAAAAAGGAAGCGGACAGCAATAGTAGTGACCTAGGGTGCCTTCATGTGCGCTTTGCTTAGGGTGGAGACATCTGGCCATTTTGTTCCCCGCTTCATTTATTTTTTGTTCAGAAGCGCGTGAAAGAGCGTGTCCCTGCACGCGTCTGCGGCGCTGGCTGTGCTGTGGCGACATTTTGTTTTCGTCGATTTCTTTGTATTTTCCCCGTGAGCGCGTGCTGTCGGGATCGGGTACTACAAAGGGTGGCATCACTCTAAACAGAAGGTCATTGAGGCACCCTAGTAGTGACCCAGCCAGTGAAGAATTCCCGCCGGGCACGCCTAGATATCCATGGACGGTCAATTTCTTCGCCTGATGAACCCGACAAGTCGAGCTCCTAAGTGCTAAACACAGTGCATTTGTAGGGCACCTGAAGCTACCTACACAGTTTTGGTCACGGATTTACATACGGCACTATTTTGGCGTCGTGTACGTGACATCACGTCTTTAAGACAGGGAGACTGCGGTGATCTCCCGCGAAAACGCCGTGAGCTTTGGAACATTCCACACTGAGGTAATTGCTGTTCATTGTTATTTCATAGACGAGAAACTATGGGCTGTTTGAGTTTGTGTTCATATTGCATCTTATTGCGTCATGTACTGCCAATCGAGGTATTTTTTCTTCATAAACTGCCTTCCACAAAACAAAATTTGCTAAATGTTCACCAGTTGCAGTGGCACCTAGGACGTTCCCAAACGCGGTCAGCCTTGCACTTTCCACAACGGTGGTCCCCGGATCGGCAGCACGATGGCAAAAAAACAATACACCAGACGACTGTTCCGCTCACCATTGAAAAAGTGCGACATTTATTGACATTTCTAAGTCCATTGCTTCCTTGTTATATCAGTATCGGTTGGTTTCTTTCGGAGCTATTAGGCGTGCAGCCCAAGTGATTGTGTTGCTGAACCATCTGTCAGTACTGGGAGGGGAACTTGATATTAATAAAATAATTTCACTCAAAAGACGCGAATATTCCCGAGTAGAGGATAGCACACAGTCTAGAGACATTAGTTCATAGGCAGAACTACAATTTTTGACATTAGCAATTGTTCCGCGTCGTGATAAACTCCAGTTAAACCTCCGTAGTACGCGCCGAACAGCGCGCTCCTAGGGCTCAGCATGGCAGCGCCACGGTGTTGCCTACGCGCAAAATCTTGAAGGGCGGCCGCCGTTCTTGCGACTACAACTTTCTAGAACACTGGAACGTCGGTAAGGCATTGGCTAAAACAGGCCAATGTTCTCCATTCTAAGCCAATCGATAACCAATGTCGGTAACCCATTGGCTAACACAGACCAATATTGGCCATCTTAAAGGGGAACTCCGGCGACTTTTTGAGCAACCCCAACTAACTATTTTTTTTTTTTTTAAATCGCCGTTCTTTACTCTTTTTAATATGTTATTTTGTATCGTGAAATTCAGAATAGTTATTGTGAAATCGGCAAATGAAAATGACGCCAAAACGAAGATTCGAATATACCCGCGCTTTTCATTGCCGTGACGTCCCCAATGTGCCGGCTTGCGGTTCGAGCGGGCAGTCTAAAAATGAACTATGCCGAGCATTTGTATCGTGCTGCTGCGCGGGAGCTGGAGTGACTTTACAAAGCATTCATTTGACACCATAAAACTGCTTGTGATCAGTTGAAAACAAAGTCTACAGCCCAAAGAGTGAACCCCTGCACACTCATGACGTCACTTTTTCAATGTTGCCAGTAGAGCTTTTCACTTTGGAAAACACGATGAGGACCAAAATTGTAAATTCTGTAACTTCGCGAAAAAAGTTATTTTGTCCAAATATTTGGCTTACTAGTTCAGCGATGTTTGTTGGTGTTTTTAGCAAGTTTTAGGCAAATCGGGGACTATGAAGAAAACGGCGGAGTACCCCTGCGTGTGAAAACAAAAGAATCGTTCCCCTCGGAGCCATAGCTACAGACTGTTCTCAGCATCCGCGATCAGCGCATTAAAAGAACTAAGCCAATTAATTATAACGTTGGTAAGCCACTGGCTAAGAAAGGCCAATGTTGGCCTGCCTAAGGCAATCGATTACCAATGTTGGTAACCAATCGGCTAAAACAGGCCAATGTTAGCCAGGCTGAGCCAATTGATTATCAAAGTTTGTAAGACATTGGCTAAGAAAGGCCAATGTTGGCCAGTCTAAGCCAATCAATTACCAATAATGAAAGTCATTGGCTAAGGCAGGCCGATGTTGGCCAGCGTATGCCACTGTACCCAAAACATTGGTATTACAACGGCTACTCTGGTCCAACGTTCATTTATTGTTTTCCAATTGAATGCCAATATTGGTCCAACGGTATGTGCTGCCTGCGAGTCTTCACCGAACGGTGACGCTGTAATCGTGCGCAATACATGTTCAGTGTGCATCCCCAAACAATGGCCGGCTCGGATAATTTGCCCAGCAACTACTAGAACGCGCACTTTTAAAATGGTCTGCTGAATTCAAGCATACAGAACCATATTTCAGTACCCTACTGGTCGTCCGCCCAATCTGATGTGTCCATAGGCAAGCAACAAAAGCACCGCCAGTCACGTGATCTCGCCGCTCTAAGAAAAAACCAGACAATAAAAGCAAAACAATTTGCATAACTGTTGACGTCATATGATTAAAAAAATAAAACGCAAGTTATTTTTTAGGCAGGTGACTCGACATTTTTTGTCACGTGATTCGATGACGCCATCACCTAAACAGAGAAACATCATGCAGTTTCGCGTTGGCGGCTGCCGGCCGTTGGCCACTCATTTGCCCACCTTAAGTGGAAATCCCTTAAATAAGAATGAACATTATTTTATTTATATAATTTTGAAAACTTATTGTGCAATTTGAGCGACTCGTTTCTTAGGGGAGTCATTTTCACAGATTTTTATTTTTGATACGAGTCAAAAAAAGAAAGAAAACCCATATAATGCACGCACACCTTGAGGCCTCGATAAAGTTCGTTCACATACTTAATTTGTGCAGCGGGTAAGTTTAAATTTTTCCCGTCTAAAGGTACACTTACGTCTAATAATTGCAAACATGAAGCATACTAGGTTCACCGATAGTATGGTTTTAGTAAATTACGAGTTCATGTACTTCTCTTTTGTTCACGAGTAATATTACCAGTCAAGCCTCATCTCAGTACGTGTGTGCTTAATGTACACTTAAGTGATGATCTCAGTAGGCCATACTGATATAATGACGTTTTAATGTCAAAATACGAATTAGTGTATTGATTTTTGCTTAGTGATTGTTCATTCATCAGGCTGTCCATCATTGTAACGGGTTAGAGCAACTATACCCCAACTTGCGTTTCCTGGGATGTATGGGTGTGCCGGTTGCAAGGCAGAAAATGTACTGGAGCGAACAAGAGATATGTAGACGAGAGCCAAAATTGTCTTGATGATGAAGCCAGGAACAATCTGCGTATTAAAAAAAGGTACCCATGGTCATTATGTAAAAACTTAGGCTCTGCTGTAAATTAAAAAGAAATACAGAAGTTCCCCGGTTGGAAGCTTGTGTCGACACGTTGCTTCTGGCCAGGAGTAAGAAATTGCGTTCATTGTGCTTTTATGATTTGGTTTGTCTGGTTCCAAGCAAAAAGCGATATCAACTGTGAAGTAAAGAAATGCAGGATATGGAGAGTTTATCTCGTCGTTTCTTCTCATTAGTGAAACTCTTTATTGTATCAGACATTTTTGGGCCGAATAAACGTATATGATCAAAAAATATATTATAAGAGCATACGAGAACAATAAAGGAACATACAATAAGTTATAAGAAACTGAAAAGAAGTCTCTTATAGCATCAAATATAATCTTAGATTTTTCTCATACGTTCTTATAAGGTTTTCATACGATTCTCATAAGGTTAGAATATGTTCCTATATCATCCTCTTTGATCATATGCGTTTATTGGTTCAAGAGCGCTATCATCTAAATAAGATTCTTAGCTAGGGTGGTGAATGAGACTGACATTCGCCCATACGACCTCCCAAGAATAAATGAACAAAAAGTGAAAGCCGTTACAACTCCCTGTAACGCCCAATGAGAGCACAGCTCTTGAGGGGGAGGAGGGAAGGGTACGAAGGGGGGGAGGGGTCATGTGACCTCGGGGAGGGGAGTCACGTGACCTCGCAGAGGGGGGTTACGTGACCTGAGGGGTCACGTGACTTTGGGGGGGGGGGGGGTCACGTGATCTCGGGGGGGCGGGGTCTAGTGACCTCGGGGGGTCTAGTGACTTCGGGGAGGGGGGGTCACATAATTTCGGGGAGGGGGGTCACGGGACCCCCCTCCCTGAGGTTTTTTCAAAAGGTACCTGAGGTCCTTCCGAAGGTACCTGAGGTCCTCCCGAAGGAACCCAGGGTCCTCCCGAGGTCCTCCCGAAGGAACCCAGGGTGCTCCCGAGGTCCTCGGGGGAAAGGGGGAGGGGGGACTCGCGGTTACGCCGACGCCGACGGCGACGACGACGGCGACGCCGCTCAAGCCGGAAACGGGCGCCTAAGAGCCGCGCTCTAAAAGCAAAAGCGAACATTAGACGCCACGTCCTGCTTTCCTTCGGCTCTCGATGACTCTAGTATCGTGTCGTAATGACGTGGTTCAACATATCGATCGACAGCTTAAGAAAAGCGGGATAATTATTTTCACGCTTCTATTTTTTGCCATTTGCTCTTTGGTGTCTTTATCGGTCATGACTGCAATTTTATTGACCGTGAAGTTAAACTGAGATAGTTCAGCTGGAGAATAGGGAAAGTGCAGTTCGTGGTCCAATCATCAGGACCAGAAAAAAAAATGAACCAACGCCTGAATGACGGCATGAAATATCAGCTATTCGCGTTCTTGAAACCACGTCTAAAAGGTGATCCTGGAATAAACCTTGGAGCAGGCTTAAGCGTCGCATTCAAGAGTTGAACGTGATGGCTACAAACATAAACTCCCGCTCGCTCCCAAGCCGTGCAAGTGTCTCTGAGGGCCTACTCAGTAGTGTGTCCGGCTCACAACCGAAGGCTCGTAGGTTCGAATACCGCCTGAAATTCTTCAAATCTTATTCCTTAAGGGAAATGAATTACCTTAGAGAGTAGTGTTGACGATTGGGCTAGTTGGTCATTCATATTAGCGGAAAACAAACAGCGCAAGGACAAGGACAGAGTAGAAGGTGGTAGACACACACAGCGCTGTGTGTGTCTACCACCTTCTACTCTGTCCTTGTCCTTGCGCTGTTTGTTTTCCGCTAATACCTTAGAGAGTGAAGTCATTCGAGACATGTCGCAACCTTTATTTCGCATTACATGTAATGTTTTACCATGTCATTCCACGTTCGAAGTCACGTGAGCATTGTGGGTTGTTTGAAATTCCCGGACGAGGTCATGTGGCTGCGAGGTCATCACTACACCGACCAATCAAGACTTTCCCGTCACAACGCCGCAGTCCTTAAAGCTCCACGCGTTAAAAGACTTCTTAATCGAAGAATGAAAAAGCTATCTTAAAGCGATGCCCTTATGCGCCTCTTTCCGTGTAAGCGGCGTAGGCGTCGATGTAACAGCGCGTTACGTTATGGGAAGTTTCCCAAAATAACGTCGCACGTGACGTCCCGTGTGACGTCATGAGGGGAAAAAGTTCCCGCTAAATTTTGCGGAAAAATGTTTTGGTAAGTTTAGCGGAAAACTTTTTTGTTAAATATAGCGGAGAATTGTTTCTGCTAACTTTAGCGGGGAAATTTGCCCGCTAGATTCACGGGGGAAAATTTTTCACTAAATTCAGCTTGAAATTGTTTAGCTAAATTTGGCTTAAAACTTTTACGCAAATTTTACCGGAAAGCTTTCAACGCTAAATCTACCAGAAATATTTATGGTTAAATTTAGCGGAAAAATTCCCCCGTTCAATTCTGTGGGAAAATTTATGTCAACTGGCCTCAACACAAATTCAGTTTTCACGCCTAATTTATCGGGGAAATCTTCGCTAAATTTCCTGCTATATTTAGCAGAAAAAAAATTAGAAGAAAAAATGTTAAATTTCCCGCTAAATTTCGACGGAATATTTCCCCGCTAAATTAAGCAGGGACATTTTCGCTTACTTCAGCTGGAAATATGACGAAAATTTTCCGCTTAATGCGAGGGCAGCAAGAGTGGACGAGGTGTGGGTACGAAGGGGGAGCAGGGGCATATACCCTCCCCTATGTACTTTCTCCTCCCTCAAGAGCTGCGCTCTACTTCGGCATTATAGAGAATTGTAAACGTCTTTCATTTTCTAAATCTCGATCTGGAACGTCTGGATGATGGCGCCTCTCACCTGGTGCATTTCATCCCCTTTCATTCGATTCCCAATTGGCCATCTATACCACACTACCTCTTGCTGTACACATAAATGGGCAGTAAGGGTAAACATACCGCCAGTAATTAAAAAAAATGAATCATTCCACTGAAGATTGTTAATATATTTTGAAAATAAGCGATATATATATTTTTTTTATTGTGCTTCTTATCCGTTTCGTCTTGATAGCTGAATTTTGTGTTTATTAGTTACAAACCACACCAGTAGGAAGTCTAGGCCTCAACTTGAACACATGCCATCAGCATATTTAATTCCAGGTACTGCGATTTTGGATTCTCACATTTTTTCTAAATATCAGTAACACTGAAAGAAATATAATTGGTCCGCATCCTCTTTACGAGACGCAGAGAAATTCGGTCAAGAGCATGACATACTTTCAGGAGATATTAAAGATTTAGGTTCTTTACATATACCTAACACAATTCGCAGTCGTGGAGCCTGTTCTTTTCTTCAAGATTTTTATGAAACTTGGTGTATGAGGATTTGAATAAAAACTGTAAGGATAATTATGCGAAGCATATAAAGATTCTAACAATGTTCCCTGTCCCTTCTACATGCCATTGAGCAGTGTTTTGCGAAAAAGTCATGAACATTAATATAGGTATGCTACAATAAATTTACGGAAACCTGCATTCGCCACTTGCCTTGTTCGCATACACAGGCATCCCAAGTATTCACGACATGGAGCATTTATGACTCCAGCAATTGAGTAGCGCTGTTTGCTCTGGAGACATATATACCCTACACCGAAAGTGCAATTATGTGAACGAGGACCATCCTTGGAACTGACTATATTACATGTCGGTTCCTTTTCTCTCGAATATTTTTATAAAATATAGTTTGTAAGGATTTGAGAACTAGGTCTCTAACCATAAAGTTTTGCAAGAAGCGCGAATAATTTGACACAATTAAAAAAATGCAGCCTCCGTAATCAGGCTGCTTCAAGGTGCATCTTGTTATTCTCCCACGTCTCGTCTTAAAAAAATACTATTGAAATACGGTGAAAGAAAAATTATTAAGTCGTGGCGATAGAAATTTACAGCATTTCTGTCATCTAAATTTTATAGAGTTCGGTTGAAACCGAGTACACCAAATTTATTTGACATTTTCTTTACGACGAGAGTGAATACAAAGCTTAAAGGGACGTAAATATCTGCATATTATTTATATAAACTCTCCAAATATGTTTTTTTTAAGTTATGGCGCCGGCGTGCCAGAGGGTTTCCTTGTCGAAAGGGTGCAGAAGGCTGCACAAGGCTGAGCAATACACTTGTGTGCGACCAAACGCATATGTGTCCATCATGCTTAAGGATTATACGGATATAAAAACTCTCCAGCACCGACAGCGCTGCTCACCATCTGCAGCGATGTCATGGCGGCCAACTCGAACGCCACGGCACTGCCCGCGCTCGCAGACGGCAGTATGAGAGACAGGTGGCACATGATGTTGATTGGTAGCAGAAAGAACAGAGGGTGCTTGCCGAAGTTGTCTGCCTGCCAATCAAACAATTATATAGTATCTTGCGGCGTATTAACAACAAGAAAAAAGTACGTCTCGAATTCAGGCGAAGAGAAACTTCACTAGGTAATTCACTAGAAACGCATCACTTATTCTTGCATCGCAGAAAAGAAGAGCATAGGTCAGCGCGCTTCATTTCTTATAGAATGGTGATAGCGAAAACATAGACTGCGTAATCATTCTGTGCATAAATGCTGCGCATAAATAACACCTGACGTCAGCTCACTGCTGGTGCTTATTCACTCAACTTCTTTCAAAAAAGAGAAATGTTGTTGGCGCCAATTCCATGTCTCACAAAGTACGCGCGCTGCAGCAAGGCGCTCGCAATTGCCGCTTATGCGACGTCAGAGCTAGCCTTTTTATTCTGAGAACACCAAGATTCGTCAAGTTTTCTACACGCCGACGGGGGCGCCTCCGGGGCGTAAGGCATTCCTCACCGACCTCCGCAACTCAAAGAACATAAAATGCAAATATCTCCCTCCATTTTTCTTTCTCTACACACCGATCCTTTAACACTGTTTTTTTTTTTTGTTGTTTGTTACTTCAACGTATGCAAGAGGACAACACAGATCACCTCTGGAACTACGCTTGACAGACGTTTGCATTTTGATGCAGTTATTCTGCTGCACTCCCCAAATTTAGGTGTTACCAAGACAACCGTAAATGTAACGTTCCAAAGAGTAAACTAAAATAAGACTGCGTTAAGGTAGAGAACTGAGCCCGTTGGTAAACGTTGTACATGATGGTAATAAAGACCTCAGCAAACGATGATAAAAGAAGGAACACCCACGACCAGATAATACTCCTCTGCAAAAACTTTGTCCTTCATGGCTTTTTTTTTGTCTGCGTTTACTGCGTTCTTTTATTCCAATTATACAATGAGTGTTGATGTAAACAGTGAACACAATTGAAAAAATAACAGTGCCTGCTTGCCCTAGGTATTCTATAAAAAAGGCTCGAAGTACACCTAAGCACTTCTTACGAGTCGTGAATGCGCAAGCATGTACATCATACTTTCTCTCCGCGTGGTCGCACACTGACGGACACGCAGCGCCATAGAGTGACCGGTCGTATAAACTGACTGCTGAAACTGACGCGCAGCGTTCGCTTCAACGACCGGCCACCCCATGGCGTTGCGTTTCCGGCAAATGGGAGCCTCGTCGACTCGTGCGCGCTAATGGGACCGACCTGTAAAAGGTGCCGTCGCTAGCGTTCACGTGGTTGCATAAATAGGGGTGTCCTTGAATCGGAGAAAGAATTTAAGGTGCTGTTTTGCGCGGTTTCAAAGCTGATGATGTCGACTCGCTCCAAGAGACAGTTAACGCTTTCGCATTAAGAATATTAATGCCTATTTATAATTGCAACTGTGCACTGCGTTGTGGAATAAGCTGCTCGATAGAGATGTTATTCTAACATTAGTGATGTAAAAGATGCGCTTGAAGCACGTTACTTCACTAGATGCAATAAAAATTTAATTACAAGTTTGGCTCCAGTTCTGATGAAGTGGGCGATCCTACTTTTGTACATAGTGAGCTCCCCAACACAGGCAATGATGATGACCACAAAGTACTGGAGGTATGAAGGCTTCAGCGTAAGGTTGAGCAGTTTCTCTTCAATTAGGTCGTAGACCCCGTTCTTCTGCAAGGAAATACAGATATAGTGAATATTCTGCAAAAAAGCACAATTACCTGCTGCGTTTGTAAAAAAAACAACTCAGTTACAAGCAACTTCATGAAATCTTTTTGTTTTCTGACGTCCAATATCGCTCTGGAAAGATAAACAGCTTGTATAATCAAAAAGAAACGCGGAGAAATATTCGCAGAAATTCCACTGCCCTTCTCGCCAAGCTGTGACTAGTCAAGGCTTGAGCCTGTTACGCTGCGGTGTCGTCTGTTCTGGACAAACACAAACAACAAAATCAAATATCCACATCTTCTCATCATGCTGACCAAAATTGGGGCCTTGCGGCTTGCTTCACTGTGTCTCTTCGGCCGACATAGCTAGGTGGTACAGACCTAGCCTTTTCGCAACTAGGTCAATTTCTGAAATAATTTGCAAACCGATCACGCTGACTCGACTTTAATTGACGAATGAAAGCCCAGGTGTCAGTTACTTGAACCCGCAGTATAGTTAGGATGCAGACAACAGCTGGTATGTAAGAAGCCTAACGTTTCTAGATCATACTTCGGAGGGCAACGTGGGAGCAGATTCCACACGAGTGATATATCACCGTTTGGCTGGGACTAGGGTTTATTTTGTGAGAACACCAAGGAATTCAAGCGTTGAGGCAGACATCGTGTCCAATCTGCATACCGTGCCACCCTCTGGCAGGTGACGTGAACATCAAGCGCTGCGGCCCTGTAATATATGTTGTGTTCATCAAAGACACTTTAGTATTTCATTCATCTGGAAGAGCTCTTTCCTCTTATTAAACGAAGTCTTTCTAATCAAGGAAAGTTCCAAAACTGTAGAGAACATTCATAGTCGGGGGGGCCTTTTGTGTAGACAAAGACTCGCCTCCATTGCGGCTGAGATGGTAGATGAACCGCCAATAAGGAAGATGACTCCCCATGGCAGGCGCTTATGCAGGTCTCCCCAGGCAATGATCTCCGTCTTGTGGTCACCGGGGAGCATGTCGGTCGGGAAGAGGAATGCCATCAGGCCCACCATGAGCCCCACTGTCGCCGCCATCACCTCCCTCGAAGACAGACGTGAAAGGCGTTGGGTAAACGTTTCGCCCCGCGAGTATTTTGTGCAAGTGCAAACGTCAGCATAGGAAATGCGGAGCGTGGTTTAAAACGCTAAAGCTTCTTCCTTTGTGATTCGCTCCTCGGCGTTCCTGTCGGATAACAACCGCATTCTCAATGGGTGAGGAGCGAAGGTAATGTGCTCTGGGCTCCCCACACCCTGCGCTTCATCAACTTATTTATTTATTTATTTATTACATACTGCAGGCCTTTTGATAGGCCCTTGCAGGTGTGGGGTACAAAAGACTTGTAAACCATCATTACACATGGCTTTCATAATGTTTAGTAACTAGCACTCTCATAACTAACAATCAACGGGGAAAAACATTTGTACAACATATGTTCAAAAAGGTTCACAACACAAGAGCACAATGGCAATACCTAAAAAGGATGATCATCAAGTGCTTTATTAAAATTAGGGGCTATGAATATATTGTAAGGGAGGGCGTTCCAATCTGATATGGTGCGTGGAAAATATGAAAACTTAAAAATGTTGGTTCGAGCAAATATTGGTTGAAGAGAAAACTGATGGTGGTTCCTAGTGGCTCTGGAAGATAAGGAGGTTATATATAAACTTGAGTCGACGCACAGCTTGTTGTTATAAAGTAAATACAAGAACTTCAGTCTTGCAATTTTTCTACGCTGTTCCAGGGACGTGGTATTGTTTGCCGCTATTAAGGAGGATGGGGAGTCAAGTCTCTTGTACATTCCATAAATAAAACGAACTGCTCTCCTTTGGACCATCTCAAGTTTTGATGCATCTTTTTTCGTGTTTGGATCCCAGATTATATTAGCATATTCTATTTTTGACCTTACCAAGGAGTTATAAGCTTGGAGTTTAACGGAGGTTGGAGCATTTTTTAACTTGCGTCGTAGGAAACCTAATTTTCGAAAAGCCGAGGAACTGATGTTTTAGATATGCTTTGACCATCGTAGATCGCTTGTTAGGGTTACTCCAACTGTCAGTGACTAGAGTGTTACACAAAAGGAAGTTCTTAAAAAGAAATAAACTAAATGCAAAAGGGTAAAAAGGTAAATCGAGCGGTCTTAGCGAAATACAAATAGCGCAAAAAACGCCATTCAGACCTCTCCAAAAGTTAAAAAAAAAACCTTTCGGTAAAAAAGAAAGTGCTTCCCAAAGAAAGGTGAACACGGGGCGCTGAATTGAAAATGAGTGCACTAGGGGAAAAATACGAACCTCCGAAAGCACTAATATATTTGTGCTGACACAGAAGTAATGACATGGCATGGTAACCAGTAAACCGGAACAAAAAAAAATGAAAGTCGTTTACAATTCCCTGTAACGCCGGATTGGAGCGCAGCTCTTGAGAAGGAGGATGGAAGCGTACTGAGGGCAGTCTTGTACACGTTACTCGAAAAAAGTAATCGATTACAATTACAATTACTCTTGGTTTAAAAGTATTCAATTAGATTACTAGATTACTTTCCAAAAAAAGTAATTGGGCATTACTTGAAAAAGTAATCGTTACTTTTCCGATTACTTCTTCGTTACTTTTCCGAGTGCTCACGAAGCTTCGCACCGTGAGCACTCGGAACAATGAGAAACGGAATAAAAATCAGCTACTTTGAGGCACATCATATGAAGACAAAGGCACGTGTATATTAGGGAGACGTTTATTTCATTTTAGATGCCACAGACACTTCTTATGTCTTGTTTAATTTAAGCAGAAGCTGGCGCTCGAAGTTGCAGTCGCTCATTTTCCCGCGTTTTCGGGTCAGGATGTCCGCTGCTACGCTAAACACCCTCTCCACAGGCGCGCTAGATGGCAGGGCAGTGTTAAACCTAATGAACACTTTTTGTAGGCGGGGGTACTCCTTCAGCATTTCCGTCGAACTGTCCGGAGAGCTGAGGTAGCGTGAGACTTCCCCACTGTCCCGGGTCGATCTTGGCGCCGAAAAAGCGAAGAAATCGTCAACAGGGGAACCTCCGCAGTCAGCGGGAGGTTCCTGTCCGCCGGTGGGCGATCCTCCGTAGCATGGGCGGTTCAGCTCGTCCTTTAGCAGCTGAGCTAGCTCCTGCCGCTTGGCTTCGCCAAGAACCCAGCCGACTTTAAACCGGGGGAGCGCAATGGCTGCTAGCAACAGCTCCCGGTCGTTGATCAGGGGACCAAACCTGTAAATAGAAAGTATCGCATCTGATAGGTTAACACAGTTCCGTCCCGCAAAAAGTGGAAGCAGATTATGCTTCTTCAGAAACTTACCGGTTCTGGATTCCATCAAGCAGAGCATTCACAAGCGGCGCGGAGAAAGCTAGGCCCGCCTGGAGAAGATGGCTGAGCCGCTGCTGGAGTACCGTGATCGTTGGCAGCAGGTACCCCATGAACATGTGTTCTTCTCTTTGAACCACGTCAATCGCACAGGCGAGGGGCTTCATGACCTGCAAATGCAATAGAGGGGAAGGTTAACAGTATGGATGTTTTGTTTACGGTATTGATACGCAGATCCCTTGTCATAAATTCAACTCCTTTTGTGAAACGTAGAAATAACAGATACGGCACTCTCACCTTACAGTACTCTTCAATGAAGAGTAGGTCACGTGGACGCTGGAAGGGAGGAACTTGTAAGGTCCTGCATAACCCGTCGAAGTCTTTGCCCTCAGCATCCAACTTGTGCACGCACTCTAGCGCATCGTAGAGAGAGTTCCACCGCGTTGCTACGGGCCTTATTAATGCCTTCCCACAGAAGCGTCGGATGGTCTCGGCAGCAACCGCCGACTGTCCCTGCTTATTCCACAAGGCGCGGCATGTCCGCAAAACGGAGCGAAAAGGTCTCGAGAAGATTTCGTGACGCTCCGCTGCTCCGGTGTCGGTCGTAGCCACCAAATTTAGGGTGTGCGCAGCACATCTATGGTGAGGGGGGAGTCGGGCCTCTCCTTGGTCCACGTTTTCAAGCAGGGGTGCTACCTCCACGAACTCCAGGCCTTCATCGTCCTGCTCCGAAGGCTCTAGGTCGTCAGGCTGAACAGGCTCGCCAAACACCCTGTGTTATAAATGAAAAAAATAATAGTTACCCAAAAGAACAACCTGCGTTTACTTTTTGAACGTTTGAACCACGACAACAAGCGGATACACTTTGCTGGTGGAATTTGAACGCTATATTGGATTCACAAAGTGGGTCTGCTTGTTGTCATGATCAGGTATATGCGTGGAATTGTTCTGATGTGCTAAGCAAGCGCTTTTGCAATTCTATCATTAATTTTGATCAATAAATAACAGGCCGCTATCACTGTATGCGGCAAATATTACCTGAAGGCTTTTACAAAATTGGATCCATTGTCGGTCACAACCTTGGTGACTTTTCCTTGAAGGCCGTACTCCTTGAAAACCTCCAGAAGAAGGTCTGCAATCTTGTCGTGCGTGACGCTGCCCGTCATTCTTTGGCAGATCAGTACTGCAGAGTTCCTCTTCAGGGAAGCCGGCTCGAGCCAAGAAACTGTCGCTGCCAGATAGCACCTGCGAAAAAAAAAAACAAATATTTTGTATAAACTGTACTGCGAAAACAAGAACCCGCCAGCTTAATCGCCAGTAGACAATACTGGTATTGTCTGAACATGAAGGTCATATTATGTCTCTTAAACTAGTTACGTATTTTAGCAGTATCAGCGCTTTTATATCACCGAATTTAATAAAAAAAAAAAGTTTCCGCGACAACTTACCTTCTTCGTTTTTTTTTTTTAGAGTGAGAATAATTGAATTGAATTTATTTCAGCCGCACTGTGCCGAGGACGCCGGACCAAAAGCTTTCATGAGGAGACTTTTATATTTAAATACAGAGACCAGCAAATACAAACCCACGCATATAGCTTTGAAACGAACATTCTGGATATGCGACAAGAACGTACAAGGAATACACGATGTTATCTTAAAGAGGCTTACCGTCGGAACGATGTCCAGCAGTCGGCGGTCACAGTGACGTAAGGAACCTCGTCGAAAGCTTTCCGCAGGCTTGTCTTCATCTCTTCGTACCTATCGTCGATTCTCGCCATCAGCATTCTCCGTGTTGGTACCGTGTTTTCAGGGGCCAAGGTATCCACAAGTTTAACGAAACTGGGAGCCTCGACGACAGAGAAAGGTTGCAGGGAATCTACAACAAAATTCACAATCAGGCTGTCCAGCTGCTTTTGAGGCACCCGCCCGCTTGCAAAGTTGAGGGTAAGTTGTTTCGGCGTGGACGTCGAAGCAGCTTCAGAGAGCTTCCGTTTCCGCAAAGAGTTCCCAAAGTCAGCCAGATTCCCGGGGTGTTGACTCTAAAAGAACGATTGTGATTAATACATAAATTAAAAAAAAACACACACACACATACTGCGGACATGCACGGCTAATAAAACATACCTTTACGTGCTTCCGCAGGTTCGAGTTCGTCACCATGGAACAAGACAGGAGCTTTTCTTTAGGCTTACAAAGTAAACACTGAAATGTGAGGTTGCCATCACCTCGCTTTTCCTTCATCACAAACAAGCTTGCCAGCTGCGGCCACGGAGACACGGCGTCACCGACCTCCCTAGCATGAGCCATCTCTGTATAAAACACGACTGAAACATCGTGTTTTATAGCCGTAAAATTTCTAAGTTCCGAGCTATTCACCCGGGAACGCCTTCATCCCTCCTTGGTTGTAACAGAAGCGCTGCACTACTCATAATCTCGATCCACCCTTTCCGGATTCCCGTATTCAGGCTTTTTGGGTGTAATAATGCATGGGCGTGGTAGAGCGAGCTCGAATATTTCTTGAAGTGCGTGCTAAGGACGCTAGATCCTGTTAGTTCCACTGAGCTACGGTGACCTATATCCAGCTCCGGAGATATCGCTTTTGCGCTCTTTGTGGCTTATTGCTCTAAGTTAGTACAAAGAAGCAGCTTCTCCCCTTTTCTTCCGTGTGGCGCCTTTTCTTTCCTAGAGTTTCCCACTAAGATAATGATCCGGCAGCGGCTGTCACTTCTGCCAAAGGATATAAATTCTTAGAGCTCACATTTATAGTCACACTTTAGCATTTACATTACATGGCTTTGGTTATCTTGGAGGCAGAAGAGTGTAGAGGTGCTTTGACCAGGATTTAGAGTTATTTTTTTAATATATAAGAGGGGTGGACTGTATGAAGAGTTAATGGAGACAAGCATTCTACATTAACCATCGAACTTCGCACTGAAAGGCTTTTGTCGAGAATCCGAACCTGACAGACCGAGCCGAAATCCAAGTTCCAACAAACCACTCTGCGAACTGTCCAAACAAAGAGCATGACCTCCTTTCGTAGAGCTCGACAACAATGCCTTTATTCTCTCGGATTCCAAAAGCTTAGAAGCTGATAAAGTGGAGACGTCTCGTGTCTCGAGTCGTGACTAGGTTGGCCGAGGGGGGGGGGGGGGGGGGGGGGGGAGGGGTTAGGAAAAAAGTAATGATTACAAGTAATTCCATTACTTTAAAAAGTAATCAAATTACTCTTGTGATTACTACGAAACAAAAGTAATCAAATGAATACAAAATTACTTCAAAAAGTAATCAATTACAAGTAATTTGATTACTTGTAATGAGTACCGTACAAGTCTGACTGAGGGATAGGTGACCCCTTGAGGCCACATAACCTCAGGGGGGGGTCGTGTAACGTCAGGGGGTCTCGTGACCTCGGGGGGTTGCGTGACCTCAGACCTCAGGGGGTCTCGTGACCTGGGGGGTGGGGGGGGAAGGTCACGTGACCTCGCGGTTACGCCGACGGCGACCTGGACTGAGGCGGGATTGCGACTCCCACGCCGACACGGCTCAAGCCGGAAACGGGGCCCTAAGAGCTGCGCTTTAAAATTCTGGTTCTTTCCACATTGTACAGTCTGTAAAAAAAAGTGAGTGGTTTAAACATGTGTGTAATATATATGTTTGCTTCAGCTATAGGAATTCCCGAGCAAAAACGGTTATTCTAAGTTTCCTGCGAGCATGTGGATAGCCAATAACCGCATTTGACAGAAAGTGGACAGTGAATTTCCGGACTGAGACAGGGTTCTCGCGCGAAAGCTTTATTTTTGAAGATGTGATTTTTGCGGAAAATTGCGATCTCGCATTCTTTACTCGCCCACTTCTTTTCTAAATGTAGATCGTCATGATTGGTTTGCATGTTGGCTCAGCGCAAAAGTAAACGCAAGGGCCTTTGATAAGTAGTGTGTCGATTACTCGAGTAAATAAGGTAGAGTTTTTGTTTTCGCAAATGCGCGTTTTTCCTTTGTTTAATAGAGCAAGTCGTAAGCCTGAGCGTGGTGCTTCCGTTCCTTTGTCTTCCGCCAAATATATTTTTGTGCTCATTTCGTTTTGCTATGCATCACTGAATCGCCCAAGTTAGTCTTCTAGGGTTAGTGCCGCTAACCTGGGCGTAAAGCTGTTTAAAGAAAAAAAAAATAGAATAGGAAAATATTAATATTTATGTTTCCCAGACTTCAGATTTGGAAACAATACCACAATTTTGAAGTTATCATAGCGAACTCCAGCCTTAAACGTGCGTTTGACGACAAGCCTCTCTTACTGCACACACTTCCCCTCATTTCATTTCATTTATTGGTTAGCCTTAAGACCCACGAGGGGTATTACAAAGGGGGGGGACATTTGGCAAGACAGTGTCAAAGCAAAAGAACGCTAGTAATATAAAACAAGAAAATTATCACAGATGGAGATGTTCGGCAACTTTATCAGCGAATTTCTGTGGGTCTATTATTGTGACAATGGCTTCGGGTTGTTGGTTCCAGTCACTAATAGCAAGCTGAAGAGACGAGAACTTGTAAAGGTTAGTTCTGGGAATGTCAAGGTGTAATTTGCAGTGGTGGTCAAGTCGGCGTGGGATAAAAGGGGCAGGTTTGCAATAGATCGACTTACGAGATGGAGAGTGATAAAAAAGTTAGTGAAACAATTTCAGTCTGTTTAACGTTTTACGGTCTTTCAAAAGAGAAAGCTGTAGAGATGATTTTAGAGAGGTTACACTTACTGGGAAGTTGTAGTTTCGCAAAATGAAACCAGCTGCTTTATTTTGAATTGACTCTAATTCTGTTTCTAAGAAGACTTAGTGAGGGTTCCAGGTGGCTGAAGCATATTCCAGAATGGGTCGTATTAGAGCGGTATAAGCTGTTAGTTTATTTTTTTGAGATGCGAGGTTGAGGGAACGTCGGACAAAACCGAGTGATTTGTTAGCTTTGGCTGATATCTGGTTAACATGATATTCCCAAGAAAGATTACTGCTTAGGTAAACTCCGAGGTACTTATAGTGCATCACTTGCTCTATGTGGTTGTTGAAAAGAGTATAATTATATTTTGTCGGAATACGTTTAGTACTAAAGACCATGGACTTAGTTTTTTGCACATTAATCTTCATCTGCCATTTTCCACACCAAGACTCGATCTTGACAAGATATTTTTGCAAAGTGCCATAGTCATCTACATTATGAATTCTAGAGTACATCACACAATCATCTGCAAACACTGTTAAAGTCGAGTTAATACAGAGAGACAAATCATTAACATAAATCAGAAATTATAATGGTCCCAGCACGGTTCCCTGCGGTACACCTGATCTTACTTCCATGGTCGTAGAAGACTGTTCACGAAGAGAAACATACTGAGTTCTAGATGTTAGAAATGATTCGATCCAATTTATAACGCCTCTGTCAATATGAAAATGGTAAAGTTTTTGAATCAATCGACAGTGGGGAACTTTATCGAAGGCTTTTGAAAAATCAATGAATATGGCATGAATATCTGTCTTGGCGTGTAGGCTTTCATGAATATCTGTAGTTAATTCAAAAAGTTGCAATTCACACGAGAGAGACCGTCAAAGACCGTGCTGGTTTGCAAATAGATTATTGGAAGATAAGTGATTCATTATTTGTGGATATATGACATGCTCCATCAGTTTACTAGGTACACTCGTTAACGAAATAGATCTGAAATAGGACACCGCATCCCTAATAGTGTCTGACCATTCACGACGTCATGCAATGTGGGTACGATGAGAAATTATGATCAGCGTAAAAAAGTTATTCGAGCGGTGCTAGAATACTTTCTTTTTCTTATATGTTCGTCATAGTAAAAGTGAAAAAAAAAAACGAAATGAGTCAAGTTGGACCAACTGTTCGATCATTATTGCTGCGGCTAAACCTACAAAATTCTGGCGAATGGGGCGTATTTCTTCAAAGCGATGGAGTCATGTACACTGAAACGTGTTCGTACTTCATTAAAAATAACGTGATAAAGCAGACAAACTGGTTAAAGGTAAAAATTTAGCCTTTCCACTCTGGTGAAGAAGGAAAACCAGCGAGGCTGTACTATGGTGGGAATGAGGCAATGGCCCGCCGCCAATCGGCAAGCCAGAATGGAAAATCTGGAAAGGTTGCCACCATCTATGAGCAACGGCGGCAACCAGACAACCGGCAAGCAGGTTACTGATTGCCGCTGTTTCCTATAGATGGCGGCAGCCCTCCAGAGTTTGCTGTCATCATTTGTTTGCTGACGGACACGATACTGGGGAAACTAGCCCTTAAATGCTCCGCTGTAAAAACATTTCTAAAATCCAAGATGGATGCTACAAGGAGGGGACAAACACTAGATATCTCAAATTGAGACGTATTATTTTTGTCCCGTCCTTTTAGCCTTCGTCCTGTGTTTTAAAAATGTTTGTTTTTACCTCCTTGGGTTTTTTAATACGAAGCTAAACTAGAGGGTAGAGAGGATGAGAAGTTGAGAGGACTTCATGGCGCTGAGCTATGATTGGAAGAATAGTGAGCAAACTCAAAGGCTACCGGTCTTTGCCTCAACCTTCTGTTCGAACGCGTTACTACGCCTTGCGCCGGCGACCGTCGTTCGAACGCGAGACACTGGGTGAGGAGCAGACGACGCTCCTTTTCGTCTTGATAGGAGGTAGAGACTTATGCTGCTTGCTTTTGCGTCTTCGCACAAATCCTCCCAATCAAAGCCTGGCACTCTAACCTCCACAAGCGCTGTCGTGTGCTCTCTCCCAATTTCGTTGTGTACAGGAAGACACTGGTGGTGAGGAGATGAGCGCACGCCGGGACGCTCGGGCGCCGAGCTCTCTTTCGAAGGCATAGTGGGTAGACGCAAAGCTAGCTCGCTTTGTCTCTATACACTGTTGGAACGTGAACGCCAAACTCCAGACGCCGACTTTCGGTTCGGAGTTACGGCATGCTTGATGAGGGAGTAAAGACAAAAGGAACTAGCTTTGCGTCTATCCACAAGTCATACCGATGGGAGCTAGGCGTTCTGACGTTCTGACTCGTGTAGCTTCTCTACTCACTGTTCCACGCTGAGCCACTGAGACCATCCCTCGGACATGAAGAAAGGATCTCTGAATGCAAGAAGTACAATTGCAGCGATGACTAGGAAGATGGAGACGTACTCTCCGTACCTGGGGGCTCAAGAGAAAAGATACGTCGATCCGTCAAAAACACGCTAGAAAAGAATATGGTGGAACTCGTTCTGCTTTTGGTAAGAAACAAAAAGCACAAATATGTCCCTGCCAAAGTCGCAACAACAAAAGCTTGCGAAGAACAGCTGGCAAGAGTAAGGAGAATATGAAATAGTATTAGTCATATGAGCTTTAGTGATATCTTTATTTCCATCCTCATAAGATATTTCGAAGAAAAAACGAGGCTTGCCGAAATGCTACATTTATGTTGCTGCAAAGTATTGAATGCGGGTCAAACCTCGCCTCTTTTTGTTCGTTCAAGAGCGTATATTCAAATAAGATGACGGACATGCATGTGCATAGTGCTTGGCAGGCTTCTTGATTTATACTTTGATTCCCTAAAATAAAAATGCTCAGTCACTTTTCTGAAAGTATTAGGTTCGCTTTCTTTCGTTGGTTTTATTTTATTGACACTGTCATTCCTATGCAGGCGGTTTATAGGAGTTATAATATATATACATATATTCAAGACGACCAAAAGAAAAAATAAAACCATAGCAGCGCGAAATATTTAGGGGCCGAATAAAAGAAAAAGAAGAACGTCGGGGATTAAGATGGTGATGGATGCGTTTTCACATTTCTTCGGTACCTTACATAATTTTGCGCAGCCGACAAGATTCATAACATACGGGTACAACTTTCTGGTGCTCGGGACCTAGACCGAGTGGGCTTTAACCGATATTGTGTTCAAGAAGAACGAGACGTAAAGCTTCCAGATTATGTCACATCTCCGGAGCTCACCTTACTCGTCCCCCAGAAAGGTACAATTTCTTCGGAGAAGCTGACGGAAAAGCGGTCAGTCAAGACTAACATACAAATGGCTTTCTCTCACAAGCATGTGTTGCAGCGAGTGGTGACTCCCGAACCTACGGTCTGACAAGCGTCTCCGGTGTATGATGTGGCAACAGTGCTCGGTGCGATTTGTGCTCAACAGCAGCAAATGTCTCAATAAAACATCATAATTCAAAGCTTGATGTAAACGCTCAGCGTGGAGAATAAGAGGTCTAGATACGAGGCGGTAAAGCCAGACATCTTCGACGGGCAATCAAAGAGTCCAGAAGGTTGGATTGCTTTCTTCGAGTACGCCTGCGAAAAAATTTCTGGATTTCAGTACGAGACCACATAGAAAATATTCGCTTTTTTTTTTTTTGGAGGAGTAGCCAAGCAATGGTACAAGTTACGCTTGGTGGACCACGCTGACGAGCCTTGGAATTAATTGAAATCCAACCTCTTTACTACGTTCCAAGGAACTGCCGTGGAAAGGTGGGACTAAGCCATTCTATTTTATTTCAAGCCTGGGTGTGGTACTCTCCTGTAGTATTTTTTTCAGAAGAGAAGGCTACTGCAGGTAGCTGAGCCTAAATTAGCACCATCCGCCACTATTGCGCTCGTCACCCATGGGTTACCACGAGAATTGCAAAGGACAAGTGCAAGTGAGAGCACCCAAGACCATCGAGAACTTGCGGCACTCATTGCAAGATTTTTCTACCCACCCGGATAACGGAGCGGCAGCGGACCCTCGCGCTCCAGCACCACCAGCCTGTGCTCCTGAGAGAACTGACCAGTGGCGCAGGCAAACAACGGCCAGCTTTTGTATAGCCTATGTTCCCAGGAGAGGTGAACAGTGGAGGAGACAAGCTGCTGAACAGGCTCCGCGGACCCCATTTCTCTTGTCTCCAGTGCACTTCGCGGATGCTCAAGTGTCCCAGTCCACATCTGCCATCGACAGCGAGAACTAAAAACGAACGAATAAAAAAGGGATTCGCAGTCTACCCTAAGACTCAAATCGAGGCTGTGTGTCTAACTTGTTCAAGTTTGTTACATATCCAGATTTCAGTCAATGGACAACAAATACATGCTTTGTAGATACGGAAGCTTCCATTTCTATCATCAAGAGAGACATGATCTCCCCGAGCCATATAGTTAAAGTAGGGCAAGTTTTTGTTCGGAGCTACAATGGCCACACACGACAACATTCCGAGTGGGCGAACTTGCCGGTCAACTTCCAGTCTCACACAGCAGACACCTAAGCCTTGGCAATCGACGTAGTGGAGGACGACTTTCTTTTGTCACGTCCAGACATGAAAATGAAGCTGAATATTTACTGGATCCACATGGTTTCTGTCGGCCCTCCACCTGGATGCTCGACAGACTCAGGAGGTACCACCATTTCTCCTCGCACCATCAGGTCAACTGACGTGGTATCTAAAATCTATCCAGAACCGGTGTTTGCAGGGAGGTATCCGGAGTGTACTCTCAAGTTTGAAGTGCCGTTCGAGCTTCAAGACAAAACTTTCGTGAAGAATAAGACGTGCAACCTGACGCGAGAAGTGAATACGTGGCTAAAACAGGAGCTACAGAACGTGCTGGATTCTTACATCATAGGGCCTTCTGTTTCTCCATTTGTATCTCCAATCGCTATCGCTTCAAAAGAAGATGGAACATTTCGCCTTTGCACAGAGTACCAAGCGGGGAACCGACACACATCATTATTTCTTTTTCCAATGCCTCGCATTGGCAGTATCAGTGATGAAACAGGAGGCTGCAAGTACTTCTAGGATTGGGTTGTGTAATGGATTCTAGCAGGTAGGTGCCCCTTCGAGAGGACACCAAGCAGTTCACAGCGCTTATAACGCCATTCAACGTCTATAAATATAATCTCTCGCCCTCTGGATGGAAAAATTCACTCAGCTGTTTTCAAAAGATGATGAACGCCGTCCTCAAGCCTAGCCTTGGAAGATTTTGTAATGTCTATGTTGATGATATCATGGTGTGCTCAAAGACAAACAGCGAACGCGAGGAGCATCTAGCACAGGTTTTGTTCGCACTTTGTGAGGCCAACCTCAAGGTGAAGTTCAAGAAAAGTGATTTTTTAAAGAGCAAAGTTGTATTTCTAGGCAGAGTTCTGGACGGAGCACCGAAAAATGCGACACAAACGTCAGTTGCCTGTATTTCCTAACTTACCAAGCCCTACGACGTTCACTCACACCGTGTGTTTCTCGGCCTTGTAGGACATTTCAGGTCATTCGTCCACGACTATGCTACGAAAAGCCGCTGCCTGACCAAGTTGACTCAGATGGAAACAAAGTTCCAATGGACACAGGAGTGCGAAGACGCGTTTCAGGACCTTGTCAAGATCATCTCATCTGACCCGGTTCTGCGCTTGCCGGATTTCAATCTACCATTCGAGCTCAACAGAGATGTTTCACACTACGCAACCGGTGCAGTGTTCTACTAACGTGACATTAAGGGACCGGCTTCCCAACAGCTACACGTTGTGGGATACCACAATTCAACTTTCACGAAGACTGAAGTGAACTGCACCACAACAGGCAAAGAAGCCCTGGCGATCCTGATGGTGGTTAGATATTTTCGCACCTACCTGGAAGGTTCAAAATTCAAACACTTTACTGACCATGAAGCACTCACCTTTCTATTCGAATAGACTGAGTCAAAGGGAAAGATAGCTAGTTGAATCAATGAGCTGCAGCAGTTTCATTTTAAAGTAAGTCATCGTCCAGGTGCTTCCTTAAAAAACGCCGACGCGATGTCACGACTTCTGCTAACGTCTTCTTTAGCGTCACACAAAGTAGTGAATTTATCAAAACTTTGGGAAGGTACAAAACAGCTAGAACTTCGCTCTAAAGGAAAGTTTCACGTTCCATCCGCAATAGCTCCTCAGATCCTTGAATTGAACCACACAAGTCGAGAATCAGGTGGTCATGACGGGTTCTGGCGGACTTATTTGAAGGTGACCAAATGGTTCACGTGGCCTCACATGAAATATGACACAAGACTCTACATCAAGTCCTGCGACGAGTGCAAATGTACAAAGTTAAATACCGACAACCTACAGATCACGTGGCGCTACCTGAACACTCCAGGACACATTTTGAAGTTCTTCGCCTTGACTTCGTATAGATAAAGAAAAAGAGCGAATGTGTGAAGACTACGCAAGCATTTCTCCTGTGCATCGAAGAGTGCGCTTTAGTGGTGGCAGCAACATCAGTTAATGGAGACGCTGAGCGTCATCTCTTTGCCGAGCATAGAAGCGTATCACTACGTAAAGGTTGTCGTTTCGGACAATGTACCAGCCTTTTCTAGCCGCCAACTAAAATGATGGGAACAACACCGCGGGATAGCCCTGCGATTCACGGCACCTTATCATCCTTCGGCAAATAGCCTAGCGGAGCGTGCCATTCGAGGCATAAAACAATATATGAACATGTACCCCACTTTCAAGCTGGTTGGAAATGTTCGCTTCAGGCTGGTTTAGCACATCATAATTGGTCTTACACGGCAGAGTTAGGATGCAGTCCTTTCTTCGTGATCTCGGAGAAAGCCCCGCTGCTGCCTGCTGACAGCATGCTTGCGATTGTTGAACAAACAGATATCAAGGAACGCAGAAAGACCGATGCTCAACAAGAAAACTATCGGTACCAGATGAAACGGCATTTCGATAATCAACGAAATTCTGAGCTTCCAAAGCTACGGGTGGGTAACTCTGTCTCTGTCCACAAAGACCTGTAAGGATGTGCTTCACAGTTCCAGGGGCCTTACCAGGTCATCAAAACCGCAGGGCAACAAGGGCTTGTCAAAACGGTGTGATACACTGGACCGAACAACACAGTAGAAGTAGCGCCGATTACCAACATCTTTAAATATTATTCCAGGAGGAATGTATTCACAAGCCGAGGAGTCTGAGACGACCATAGAAAGAAGAGAAGACGAAGTAGCGCGGAATATCTAGGAGAGCCGAATAAAGAAATAGAAGTACGTCGATATGGTGATAGATGCGTTTTGATATTTCTTCGGAACCTTAGATATACACACAAAAACGCTTATGAAAACAGATTTAAAAAAGCACCAATGTATCCAAACATAATATACATCTTAAATTTGCTGCAGCTTGTCAAACGCTATGGTTTTTTGTTTTTTTTAATTTTCACAAAATCACTAACATTTGTGAAAATGACGGTTCTATCTGGAAGTCTGTTTCATTCCCTAATTGCCCTTGGAAGGAAACTAAATAAAAAAAATATTGTTAACGTATGGTTCCCTAATATACCATCGGGATCGAATTAAATTCGAACAGTGACTGAACTTTGAGTGCACAACCGGGGCAGCTTCGTAGCTCGACTTGCAAAGGATGAGATTCAAACACATCGCAGTAGAACCCGCACTCTCACAGCGCCTTACTCTCCACCCCGCAGTTTTGTCAGTTTCCAGAGGCCTAGAGGAGACACAGCATGTGTCGATGGCCCTAGCGCTCCCGTGTTCGCACTGTGTTCGAAGCCGATGTACATAATATGACAATGTCGCGCACATTCACCAAAACGCACATCCATGTAACTATGTTTGCCATTTTTAACTGAACCATGAAGGATTAAGAAAACGCACTTTGAGCGGTAACACTTTGTTCTTATATCAAAACAGTTCGCCAAGTCTACTAAGTTTAGTGGGTGAATGGGAACGATATATCATTTGTTAAAGAGTAACCGGGATGCGAGCCCTTGGACTTTATCGAGTTCTGACAAATTTGTTCCATCTGATACTATTTTTCGCATATTCCAGAACAGACCTCATCAAGGTTTTGTAAGCCAGCTGAATATTTTATTTTCGGCGAAGTTCCGCGATATTTTTTCTAAGATACTAGAGTGCCTCTTTGCTTGCTTTCCCGAAAACATTTTCGTCGTGACTATTCCATCGGAAATTACACGAAACCACTGGTAATTCAAAACGAATTATAAGTACGTTCATATTGGTCGACTGAAAATAATTCAGATATCTGCATACGACCTCTCGATACCTAAGTTCGATTTGCAGCTAAACAAATATCGCCGCTTGAAGAAGTATGCACACCTTTACACTCTGGATTGTTGACTAAGAAACTGAAAACACAAATCAGATCTCCAAAAGTGTTTGTAGAGATCCAAGTTCATTACTTTTGTTAGTGTTTATTCTTTATACACAAAATTGAGAATTCAAATGTCAAAGTAGTCGCCAAGCCACGCACAGTCATCAGAACAAATAAAAAAAATAATGGTTTATCTTCTTTGCGCGCGTAATACACACGCGTATCGGCACAAACAGAACACAAACCCATCGGCAAGCCTGCTTATTTATCCCCACACACGTTTTAGACGAGCTCAACGAATGACGCATTCACCTCAAAATGACGGACTATTCATAACGCTATGTTTGTGATACAGAACTATATGAAACGGAGAAAAACAACTACTTACGACATGCTTCCCATGATATGCAGTCGGTCCCTGATCACAACTTTGGAGGGTGGGTGAACATCGGTCTCATTGTTGTCGCTGTAGATAGGGCAAATAAGGTTATTTGTTTGCAATGAACTATATTTTGCTCCGTGGCGAGAACGTAACAGCAAAAAAAGCTTACATTTCACAGCCGTTCGCTTATTCATAAAATGTCGAGCTAAACAAACTTTTAAATGGGAGAATGTATTCACGGGTGAAGAACAACATCAGGTAGCTATAAAATAAAACTTAATGACCATTCTATTGGTCAAGTTACTGGTAGAACGGAATTTATTATACCATATATCATAGCAGCACGGTTTTATCCCTTTACTGTTAGTAGGAAGGGTATTATTCTTAGGAAAAGCCAGCTCACAACGAAATTATCTACGGGAAAAACCAGTATAAAGAAGTGTTCTTCATCATTTTCTTAACATGCCGGCGGTTGGTACAATTGGACAAAGGGAGGGGGGGGGGGGGTTGCATCAACGAAAGAACACGGGAACATGTCAATTATCTTAAACGCTTAACAACAGGACCACTAGTCACCCATTTGCGTGAATGCGCGTGCAAGCCCGAGCTGAATCAAGTCACCATCTCAGAACATTAAAACAAACAAGCTTGCACGGGAATAGTTGGAGGCCTATTCAAAAAAGAGAAAGAGGAACTGGCGTTAGTTCCTCATCAGTTTCGCTATACAACCAAGAGAAAATATACTTGCAGGGCTACAGACCTTTTAATAATTAGAAATACGACGAGGAGACATGCGGATAATGATGCTAAACAGCTAGTTGTCCAGCGGTTGTTCGCGTATTGCCCTGTATCCTCTCATCTGTATAGAATGCTCCTCTAAATGTTTGTTCAGCTGCTTCTTCCCAGTGTATAACCAACTATCTGAGCTTATTCTAGTCGTAAGGCATTATTCCGGATGTTTTAATGATCACATAATTGGTCATTTTACTGGTAATCTAAAACAATCTTTAAATTTGTTCCAGGGACCTTTTAAAACTTTTGTATTTTTTCAATTTTGATCCAATAGATTTTTGGTGGTAGCTTCTATACTGAAATTTTTGGATTAATATCACTAAAAACTCCGCCGTTTGAAATTGAAGGTACTACAGATAAATCTTTCATTCTCTATTTTTTCACATAAAAATCAGGAGAGTGAAATACGCCGATGTTTGATTTAACTTTGTTTCAAATTAAGATCAAACGCAGCTGACGCTACGAGCTAATGCGACCAATCGAAAAGCCTGAAAAACGCAAGTCAATGTGCCTTTTTTTGTTTATGATTGTTTGAGTGATGATAGAACACCGACGGAAAGATGGTCAACACCATGATGGTGGTGCGCCTTTCACGCCGTCTGGTTGCTCCAATCAGCTGGTAGCGTCGCATGGGTCTGGACTTGTGGTGAATCAAAGTATGGCGTGCTTGAAAGAAAAAAAAAAATATTGCCTAACGTAATTTTGACAAACTGAATAATTATAAATATACTTCCTTTAATACTGAGAATCAATATATCAACATTTACCTTTATTGAAATGAGTAGCACAGCAGAATAATTACGTCCGGAAAAGATGCCAATGCACTCTAATGCCAGAGTCGCACTAGAGCGTCAACAGAAAAAAAAAACGACTCCGAAAAGTCTCAAGCACGTCCTTGCATGCAACAGCAAGCCTTCCAAAGTTAGCATCCAGTGCAGGCTCCATATATTTGAAGAGTGTCAGTAAATGCAGCTTGTGTTCGTCGCTTTAGTATGACTCAGTCATGAAAATCAGTACTGAGGTACGGAGCGGACTTACTATTTCCGTATTACCAGAAAGTTAAGGACCAAGGCGGAGAGCAGCAGAGAGATGATACCGAATGGAAAATGCATGAACCACCAGGCGCTCATATCAAGCTTGAACTTTACGAGGTTCCTGCAGCAATGGTGACCCGTGTGTTATGACTGCTTCAATGATGTCTACGTTCGAACACATTTTTGAACATGTGAAATGATTTCAAAGCGATCAGAAGGGTATCAACTTCAGAAACTACAAAAGTGTGCCCTTCCCGGACAGCTATAAAGAAACACGCCCCCTAAAAACTCGGTTACACGCTTCTCACTGATTACGACCGAGTGCGTTACGACTTCTTCGTATGTCAGGCGACGAGCGGACACGCCAGCGCCATCTGTCGAGTCCCGTGGAAAACTTGCTATTTCGGTATATTTTAAATTGTTTCGAGCATCGTCTTTCACATTTGGCTTGAAAATATTTTTTTGATGTTGTAAAACAGGATTCCTCACAGATGGCACGTACATTTGATCAAGCAATTCTGCAATGCTGCACATCAAGCAATACTGCAATGCCGCACACGCGTATAAAACGGGCACGCGGATAGGGTTCGAGAGAGTCCGCCGCCTAGAAAACACATATCACAATTCAGAACATCATATGAGTTTTCCTTTTTCCGCACTTTCGCTACAGTGAAATATAGTTTCAGGGCCACTCTGTAGATGGCGCGAGTAGGCAGTTTTCTCTAATGGCAAAAGATTAAAATAGGTCGTAATGCACTTGGTCGTAAGATGTCGCAAGTGGGTAGAAGTTGTTGGCCTGAACATGCTTTATTACTCACTTAAGCTTAGCAGAAAGTCACTGGTGAGGAGATAGGGTATCGCATCTCTACGTGACTATGTGACGTTAACTGTTTGCTGATGTAACAGAAGTCAGGTCTGGAAACCCAGGTGGTTTTCTACAGTACCACATGTTAATAGCAACCTTGTGTCCAGTTGTATGGTGATTCCTCATCGCGATCAAGAATTTTCATTTATTACCGCTCAAGTTTACTAACAATAATTGACATTACCCGAAACAATCTTTCATATGCCTTATCACAAATAACCCAAGCATCGAAGAGCATGCCGAGAACGTAGGTACGCGCGCTGCGCGTGCTGGCGTCTGTAGCTGGAACTATTCAAAAGCAAAACGCCTAAAGCAACTGAAGGTTGTCTCACGCGTTTTACAAACACTATATTTTAAGTATTTACTTCAAATTGTTTGCATAGGGAAGGTGAGCGCGGGCAGCGCGCGTACCTACGTGCCTGGCATTCTCTTTGATGATTGAATAATTTAGTCAAAGTTCTATTCTCGGTCCCCTGGAATAAGGAGTCTGTAGAGAAACACACAGAAAAAGAAATTTATGTTAATAAAAAAACGGAAAACAACAATAAATGCAAACAAAATATTGAAGTATTCCGGACCTTAGCTTTGAGGAAATAAAAAAAAAATAGAATTTGAGGAGAAAAAGAAGGCAAGGAGATAAAAGCTGGATGGATGGGATGGAAATAATACACATCCTGTTTCATTATCCCAAAAATGAAAATATAATATGACTGTCAAGAAACTTTCAAACGTCTCCCTCCTTTCCTCCTAAAACAACTTCTTTTTTAAGTTCTCATAACGGAGATTATTTTAGGATTTTTTTAGTTTAAATTTTGCCATATTTGTAATTTCAGTATTTGGTTTGTATCTGCAAACCACCACACAATATTGTAGAGGCGTGAGTTTTTGTTTTAGCGAAGTAAATTATTAAAAGTTTATTTGAAAAATCGTACACCTAGCTCAGCTCCAAATTTTGATATGATCTCAACCTCCAGTGTTGCCAAAATATTTATATTTCTACGGATATTAAAAGAAACAATTGTAACCGACTTGAATGTCAGTGCCGTACCGAAAGATTTACAAATTTATTTAAAGACCTCTGCCAACCATATTCAATATGCAGGTATGTAGACTGGTTAACTCGTTTTCAGAAAAGTTTTACGACAAGGGCCATTCAAGCTGGGCTAAAACCTAAATTTGTACTAGCTTATGAATAAACAGAAATCAATGCGTACCGTTTTGTTGTATCAGTGGTGTAAAGGATATGTTATGTGGTATTTTTCATAATAACTCGGTGAGAAAGACTTCACAGTGACAAAAGAGACCTGCGTTTCTGTGGTGTTAAAAATATTAAATTCGAAATAAGTTTTCTTTAAATAAATAAATTTGCCCGAATTGTCAGTAGTGCAAGGTCATTTGTATTACAGCTGTATATACGGTCAGTCGCGTAACGATCAGTTGTGTCGCGCGGGATTTCCAGCACGGGTCAGTCGGCCTCACCCATAAAAAAAAATCTCCCATTGGTATTTAGTTACGTAATCACGCTATTTCATGGCGACTTAGTTTTGTTTTTATGATAGGCAGAAAATGCAAGGTACAATACTCTCCATGGCACCTCTATGCCTCCCCGAAAAAAGCATGAATGCTTTAGTTCGCGGAAAAATTATTTACTCTATAGATTTTGCGAGATATATTTATTTCTCAGTTGGTGTAAGGATAATAAACTGTTTATAAAAAAGTGGACATGCTCCCTTGGAAATAATATTCTGGTTTAAAACCAGGAGAGAAATTTCGAGATTTCGCAAAAGAAGCAGCCCTCACAAAATATTTTTTTATCTAGAGACAAAACTTGAGTCTGTGCGTTTTATATATGTTATCCAGAGTAGCGATATATGTTATTGCAAATATTATCATTGAAAAAAATCACATTCTGTTAAGCACAAGCCAATAAAGGCGTAAAAAAGCTGTCACTCATTTTATCTTTAAGGCGTTAAACAATATTTTCGTAAATGATAAACATAGACAGCTGAGAGCTCGGCTGCGTTTTTTTTTATTGAAATAACTAATAAATTACCTATTGAACAATATAAGATAGTAAACTAAAGTCAATTATGAAAAAGTATTTTTTTTTTTCATAGACCTAATTTTTTTATCTTCGGGTTAATGACGAATCAACAAACAAATTACATGTAAGTAAAAAATATTCGTAACTGCACTGATTTCTAGCGGTATACTTTCTTCCTATGAGACAAGACTAACGTCACCCCATAGCTCTATTGTAGAGGCTTCAGAAACTGAACTGACATTTTTACGTGGTTTGGTCACGTATGGTAAACATGGCACAAAGTAATGATAACTTGTGTTAGTGAAATCAATGAGCGATTCGCATCCGTCTAAATAGATGACGACACGTT